AGAGAAAACCCCAAATGCTATGGTGGAGAATATAAACTATGAAGTGTAGGCTACGGGATATAAACCACAAACCCTAAACCCTAAACCCTAAACCCTAAACCCTCCATATTCGTATAAGAGGAGACACAGAAAGAGAAAAAAATAAACAGCATACACAGAAACAACACGCAGCAACAGAGACAGCTGGAGGCGGAGCAGCCAGTAGTAGGGGGGCCCCCACTGCACCGCTGTGTGGTAGTGGGTAAACCCTAAACCCTAAACCCTAAACCCTAAACCCTAAACCCTGAACGCCCTCAGCACAGCAACCCCCCAGATTGTCGGTGTCGCCCTCCTGGTCCCCTCTGTTGTAAGTCAAGGGAGGTCTAGGGTTTAGGGTTTAGGGTTTAGGGTTTAGGGTTTACCAGTTTACGAAAAACATCTTCTTGAGGCGCTCAGGCTGCAGCAGGTGCAGCAGCAAAAAAGACAACGGACCTCGCGCAGCAGCAGCAGCAGCAGCAGCAGCAGCAACAGCAGCAGCAGCAGCAGCAGCAGCAGCAGCAAACGAGAACAGAGGGGCCTTTTAGGGCACGACTCTGAAGAGGAAGCAAACTATATTCTAAAACCCTAAACCCTAAACCCTAAACCCTAAACCACTACAGAAACCACAACAGACGCAGCAGCAGCAACGGTGGCGGCTGCAGCCGCCGCCGCTGTTGCGGGCACACCCTGCTCCCTAAACCCTAAACCCTAAACCCTAAACCCTAAACTTGAGCCATAAACCCTCATCGAGGGTTTTTAATGCCTTATACTCTCTCATCCTTCTCCTCTGGTGAGCGTCCCAAACCCTAAACCCTAAACCCTAAACCCTAAACCCTCAACAGAGAGCATGGCGGTGCCGTGTCTGCTGTGTTGCCGCTGTAGCCAGATCTCCACCTAAACCCTAAACCCTAAACCCTAAACCCTAAACCCTAGAATCACAGAGTGTTTTATACTTCTCAGGTCCCTCATTTTTTGCTGGAGGCTGCGGCTGGCGCAGTGCTGCAAAGGCAGCAACAGCAGCAGCAGCAGCAGCAGCAGCAGCAGCGACAACAGCAGCAGCAGCAGCAGCAACTGCAGCAAGCTCTGCTGCAGCAGCAGCAAAAGACTCTCCCCGCCTGTGCTGTTATAGATTCTGTTGTCTCTGTCTCTGCCGTGAGGAGGCGACAGAGCATGCATTGCATCCTAGGGTTTAGGGTTTAGGGTTTAGGGTTTAGGGTTTAGGGTTTGGCTCCACCATGTGTGCAAGCGTATCGCGCCTCATAACAACCAGAGCGGCGCTGCCCGCCCCCTCCACGCTGCCCCTGGGGTTGCTGCTGGGATCGTACGATCCCCGGGGGCCCCCCGCGGGGGCCCCCGCGGGGGCCCCCTCGCGAGACAAGAGCTCAGGGGGCCCC